GAACATGAAAACCACGTGGCTATGTGCCCAGGCAAGCGGTGTGGAGCCTAAATTGGGGAAGGTATTGAGGTGCTCGAGAGGAGTCCTTTCCCTGGGGGGGACTAGTCTGCAGCCCAGACTGGGCAAAGCGCAAGGCTCTGCCTCCCGAGAAGGTCTGCTCCCTTTTTAAAGACTGTTTTTCCACTTTGCAACCCCTCCAGGGTTTACTTCAGAAGATCCAAGTCTTATCACTCCACAATAAGGTGTGTGTGGGAAAGTCGGATGCGTGTCCCTTACTTGAAGGCACTTTTCATACCAAATATTCTCTTAAGCACTAGCTGGTCAGACTCACCCTGTTCTCAGTCACCCCTGCAAAGGCTGCCAGGTCACTGAGAGCAGCCTCCTGTCTCACAGCTAACCCGTCAAAGTCCTTTCTGGAAACTTGTTCTTCAAGCTTCCCTTGTGCTCCTCATGGGAAGCTCAGCTCCGTCTCACTCCTCTACCCGCTGAGAACCTTTTGCTCATTTTCAGTGTGAAGGTGCTTCGTGGCCAGTTTAGATCAAGCTGTTCTTGTACAAACACCACACTGCACTTTAAACAGAGCTTTTCCCACCCTGCCGTCTCTCTTCTCCGCTGTATTTATTCTTCCTGAGCTTTTGGCTTGTTAGGTTAAAAAAAGCTGTTTCTCTTGCCTCCAACTGGATTTGCATCAGGCTTCCTACAGCAGAATTCTTGAAGTCTGACAATACCAAGAGAGGAAAGCAGACAGCTGAAGCAAAGAAGTCAGTACAGCACGTAGCATTAAACACATCTTGAAGAAATAAGGTTTTTTTACCGCTTTTCTCCCCGAGATCACACTGGGTTAAGTTGTCTTTATGCTAAGGCTATGCCAGAAGTTGTTAGCTGCTGCACGCTGAAAATAACCAGAGGTGTTGAAGTCCATTCTTGCAGTCATACAGGCATTTCTTATTCAAAACAAAGAGTCCTCTTCCTTTGGTTAACCATTAAGATACTTTCCTCTTCCATTGAAAGATGTGCTGAGTTAAAGACAGACAAAAC